ACGTATGTATGAATTGTATGACGTATGTATGAATTGTATGACGTATGTATGAATTGTATGACGTATGTATGAATTGTATGACGTATGTGTGAATTGTATGACGTATGTATGAATTGTATGACGTATGTATGAATTGTATGGCGTTTGTATGAATTGCATAGAGTATGTATGAACTGTATGACAGGCATTAACCACACAGGACTATCAATTAGTCTCATAACAACTGAACTGATTTAATTAAAAACTAATTAATGAGACGATAATTCAAAAGTCACTTTGCTTATTATTTATACTAACCTTCTTTTTATTCTAATTATTATCTCATTATTCTAATTATCTTCGAATGATTTTAATTAACCTGTAATTATTAAAGTATATTATCTTGCAATTATTATTATAATATTTTAATTATTCTCATTAAGTTGTAACTATTCTAATGAGTTAATGAGGCATTAACAACGCCAATGAGCGGCCCCATTACCTGCACTCATTACGCCCATTAATTGTGATAATTGAGGCTTAAGTTGTTATTAGCGTGCCCTCCACGTAGGGGGGTAGATGTGGAGGGGTAGATGAGGAGGGGGTAGATGAGGGGGGTAGATGAGGAGGGGTAGATGAGGAGGGGTAGATGAGGAGGGGTAGATGAGGNATTGGTGGATTTGGCTTGAAAGGCCGTCAATGATTGGCTGATGAACTTACAATCTCTCAACTTTTTTTGAAAGTATAGGCCTTGCTCACCTCCTCTGAGGGTCGTCGAGGGCGAGGCGGTAGATGAGGGAGATGGTGGTGTAGGCGAGGCAGTAGATGACGAGCTCGTGCCACACCAGCTTGTAGATACTGCCCTGCCATCTGGTGGACAGGTGGGTCAGGTAGTGTCAGGTGGGTCAGGTGGGTCAGGTAGTGCCAGGTGGGTCAGGTAGTGCCATGTGGGTCAGATAGTGTGGTGTTAATGCAGGCCGTCATACACTTGGCAGGGGCCCGTTGGAAAAATCAGGTAGGAATAACATTAAAAATGTAACTAGTTAAAAAATATAGTGAGGTACGGATTATCAACAAAACCTTAGGTAGGAATAGCATTAGGAACGTTAGGCTCACCTGAACAGAAGCTTCCAGAAGCAGCCGAAGCCACGGCTGCTGGTCGCCACTTGAGCAGTGTAACTGATAGTCATCTTGGCTAGTTACAACCTAGCAAACTTAACCACAACTTAGCCAACGAAACCACAACCTAATAAACCTAACTACAACAAACCTAATAGCTCCACCGTGGACTAAACTCATTCAGTACAATTAATTAGTTTATAATTAATTAGTTGATATTAGTTAATTAGTTGATAATATCGAAGTTATCTCACGGAGGGCTTGCGGGTACCCGCCATCACGGCGCTGTAAACACAAAAGATTTGTACATTTAATGATTAGCTTTTGTTATTAGTCTTTGTGCTTAACCCTCTACCGCCGTATGTCACTCTCCGGGAACATAACTTACAACTTAAATTATACTATTATATATACTACCTATTATATTATATTATATTATATTATATTATTTTCTGTTATAATGTAACATTTCTTATTATATAACATTTACCGTATATTATTATTTTTTAATTTAAAGCAGATTTATTTAGAGAAAGTTCATTAATAATTTTTTATAGCGTTTCTAATTTTGGCGAAAATTTCCCTATTTCATTAAAAAGGATTAAAGGATCAAAAATTTTCAAAATCCTATTGAAATTGAAATTCGGCGTTTACAGGAGTCCAAAATTTCTATCAATTTTTACGATGTTTTTAATATACAAAATTTATTTTCAAATAATTGAAGTTTATATGATAATTAAATATTAAATATTGAATTGGAAAATCAAAAAATTAAAATGCCTTTACAAATTTTTAGTGATTATAAGTCGAAAATTAAAACTTAAAATTACAATTTTTGGAAGAATCCATTGGTTTTTAGGTTAATTTCCGTGTTGTTTTATTCAAAATGTGTAGTTTAAGTTATTTTTATGAATATTATTTTACGTTAAGGTATATCAAACATTCGATAACCTGTTTTTTAAATATTTACTTAAAAACAAATAGATAAAAAATTGTTACATGGAATTGAAAAACTTCTTCATAACATTATAAATATCTGTTATTGGTATGTATATACACATTATACATATAGAGGTATTATATATGTATATTTTATACGATATAAGAGATATACACGGCACGTATAAAACACATGCAATTCATACGTACGCACAAAATCAACCCACGGGAATAATGTGTGTAATTGGCAACACGGTTATATACATAACCTACCCCCCTCCCCACCCAATGGAAACACGCATTCATCAAATGGAGGATAATGGAGAAGCAACCATTAGTAATGGGGGGGTATAGTAAGTGATGGTTGTCCATTTTAATGGATAACTATAAATATATATAATAATAAGGGTATATATATAATATATACCCTTATATAATATAAGGTATATAATATAGGTAAATATATACCTTATAGGTAATAAGGTATATATTTACCTATATGTTATTTATATATGATGCTTGAATGGCCATCATTGATATACCGATGGTTATATATATCAGCAGTGTATATTATGTCTTATAATAGAAGATATATCATAAAGCAATATATAAATATATAGCATATAGGTGAAAAATATGTTATTTGGATTCAAAATTAATAAAATATAAAAAGATATATATTAAAATAAAACATATTGCATATATTTAAAATAATATATAATAATAAAAATAATAGTAATATATATGTATTATAAAATAATACTTGATTTTCATCTAATTTATTATCAGGCAATAATTCAAGATATATTAATGACCAATTACTTACGTTCTCTAAAATTGGATTTATTTAAGAAAAAAATTTGAAAATTTTATATCATTTATAAACGATAGAAAGATCGATGAATCATTTAATAATTGCAATATAAATAATTGAATAATGATTAGCATTTGAACGATTCACCATTTTCATTTTATTAATTATAAAAAATTAATTAAATTCATTAATTAATTCACACTCATTACCCTCCCCCATCACCCATCATTACCATCCTCCCATTAAACTCCCCCATTACCCTCCCTCCATTACCCTCCCCCTATTACCCTTTCCCCATTACCCTCCTCCATAACCTTTCCTCATTACCCTCCTCCATTACCCTCCCCTATTACCCTCCCCATTTCCCTCTTCCCATTACTCTCCTCCCATTACCCTCCCCCATTACCCTCCCCCATTACCCTCCCTCATTACCCCCATTACCCATTACCCTCCCCATTACCCTCCCCATTACCCTCCCATCATTACCCTCCCCATTACCCTCCCCCATTACCCTCCCCCATTACCCTCCCTCATTACCCCCATTACCCATTACCCTCCCCCCATTACCCTCCCCATTACCCCCGGCGACCGTTGAGTGCAGAGAATCACAGCCATGCCCATTACCATTGCGGTAATGGGCACGTCCAATTAATGGAATCCCAGGCATTACCATTGATGGTGCGCGGCGACAGTTGCAGCGGCACCATTATTTCAATGGGCATCAATGGGCCCATTATTTCAATGGGTCGGGACCTGTTCAATGGGTCCATTACAAATATGCTAATTGCCCATTACAATTTACTGACCAACGGATCGGTATAGAACTGAAGAAATAACGGCTTAGGAAATAACGGCTTAGGAAATAACGGGAGAAATAACGGCTTAAGAAATAAAGGCTTAGGAAATAACGGCTTAGGAAATAACGGAAGAAATAACGGCTTAAGAAATAAAGGCTTAGGAAATAACGGCTAAGAAAATAACGGCTTAGAAAATAACGGTTTAGAAAATAACGGCTTAGTAAATAATGGTTTGTAAATAACGGCTTAGTAAATAACGGCTTAGGAAATAACGGCTTAGAAAATAACGGCTTAGGAAATAACGGCTTAGAAAATAACGGCTTAGAAAATAACGGACAGCCCTTAAAATAAGGACAGCCTTTAAAATAAGGACAGCCCTTAAAATAAGGACAGCCCTTAAAATAAGGACAGCCCTTAAAATAAGGACAGCCCTTAAAATAAGGACAGCCCTTAAAATAAGTAACAAGGCAACACGTTGCAAGTTATTTTTAAAACACTTCTCTTTAACTTTAGTTATTTTTTGTCTGCTGCAAATCTTATAATAAATATTTAACACACTTCTTATAATTAATATAAGAATTACAATATTATTTAATATCTTATCCTATCTAATTATGTTATTTTAATAATACTTAATTACCTTCTACTTATCCTATCGATCTGAAATTTTGTAAACTTGCGTAAAATTAGAGACAATAATTCATGAATCAAATGACACAATAAATCATTTTGAAAATTGGATTTTTTCTAAAATGGAATTTAAAAATTAATTTTTGTAATACATATTTGATAATAGAATTAGATATTCATTGTACATGTTGTATAACATCACAGACACTGGATTCTTTGAAAATGTTGTCTATAAAAGTAATTTTTAAAGCCAATAGATTTATTGTTATTAATAACCTGTTGTTGGTGGGTAGGCTTGACAAGACTTGTTGCTGGGCAATGTTTAGCCAAGAATTAGTCAAGCATCAGTCAAGCACCAGTCAAGCGTCAGTCAAGCACCAGTCAAGCAAAAGAATATATATATATATATTTTCAAATTTATTTCTATGTAAATTTTTAGTTAGTATTTAAATATACTTCATAATAATTATTATCATTTTAGCATGTAAGTTACATTAATTGAATAATTAAAGTACCTTTTATTAATTAAAATCTGCTTAAATTAGATTAATTTATTAATTTAAATCTTCTTTAGTTATTTCGTTGTCCATTTAAACATTTTTACGTCATTTTTATGCTTAATGTATTCAGCCTTATTACTTGAAATTATATATAATTTTCTTTTATCAAATTTATTTTTATCTTAATAACTAGTAAAATTAATAATAACTAATAATAAATATCATAATTAATTCAATCTCATAATGTAATAATTTTTCCAGTAATCCTAACACTTATAAAAAAAACAAAGAAACAATTATTTATTTTGATATAAATATTATTTTAGTTTAATTAACTTTTATTTTAATATTTTTTTCAATTGATCTTCCTTGCTTGAAGTTTTAACGAATTTATTGAACATAAAAATTTTTTCAACACACTTAAAAAATTCGTCATTTTCAACTTTTACTTAAAAATCATATTTTCTGTCTTTTATATTATTCTATTTATTTTATTATTTTATTTATTTAATATATTTATTAAATAAATAAACTTTTATTTAATATATTTAATTTAATTTACATATTGTATTTAATTAATATACTTCAATTAATTTAATGTATTTCATTTGTTTTAATAGAAATACTGAAAAAACAATTGTAAAATCCAGAAAAACCAAATTATTTTCTCAGCCCCATTTTTAATTTAACAACTTAATGAATAAATTTATTTAAATTTAATTATTATTATGAAATAACTGAATTATATCCAAATCAATAATTATAATTATAAACTAGAATTAAATACAAATAGCAATTAACCCTCTTCCAAAAGAAATCAAATATGGCGGCTTTTAACCTTCACCCCCTCCTTAAGTCCCAAATGAACCCCCTGCCCCCCACTGAACCCCTTAACCCCCTAATCCCCCTTAATAACCCTCCTTAGAGGCTCTAATTACCCAGCCAATCACCGCCGCCCCGCCGCCGCCAATCGCGGGATTGGCGCTGAATTAACGAGGGAAATTCAACGCTGCTTTAGAGGGGAAATTTTTAAATAAATATTATTATGTAAATTATATTTAAATTGTCAATTAAGTGTAAATTAGTTTTACTGTAATGTAGTAATAACAATATTATTGTTAATAATATTAATAATAATGCTAATAAAGTAATAATTATAATAATAATAATGCTAATATTGACGATAACATTGGATAAATAATAATATTAATTATAATTTATTAATTATCGTTAACTACAATGCAATAATCAATATTATTGACAATAATATTTTTAATAACAATATGTAAAAATAATAATAAAAATAATAATAATAATAATAATAATAATAATAATAATAATAATAATAATAATAATAATAATAATAATAATAATAATAATAATAATCAATATACACTGCAGCAAACGCTCGCCCATTAATCGATCCCAGGCAATAAAATGTCCCAAAAAAAAAACAATCCAAAAAAATCCAAAAATCGAAGAAGAAAAGAAAAAAAAAGTAAAAAAGCAGCGAAGGCAACAAAGAACAATACAAAGAATTACAGTCGCAGCCAATAACAATGGGGACAATAGGCCTGATAAATGCGACGATATATATAACTGCATA